TTTCACTGTTACGTTCAAAAACTGATCTTGCATACAGGTATTGTATATTTGGTACTAGTGGACAAGGAACTCATAACCTGGACACTGTGAAGACCAGAGAGTGTATTATCATTCAGGTCAAGTTTGGCTTTATATGACAGTCAATCCCTTTGCAATTCATAGGGCTGCTTGTGCACAGAAGTATCTGTATGTCCTGAAGACACAGACACAGCAATCTGTAAGAAAACCAGGGAAGTATTAATCCAAAATTAAAGTTTTTGAATGAAGGCTAATATTGCTTGTCTTAGCAGTCAATGAAAGATATTTGTGAACCTCAAATGACAGCACTGTTCCAGTCTCCCAGTGGGAATCAAAACATGGTGTCTGTGTATAAAAAGAATTTTAAAACAAAGATAATGTGACTGTCAACTGCAAGTCAGGGGTGAGCAGGCATGCTGGGCTGCAGCACAGGCAGCAGGAAGAGGGAGGTGACTGCTCCTTCTGCCCAGCACTTGGGAGACCACCCATCAATACTGGGCCTGGTCTGGAGCTGCACAGCTTGGCTGTACAACTGCAAAATATGCCCTGCACTGAGTGAGGAAAAGGGCAGCATGGGCTGGGAGAGGACCAGATGATGTCCAAAGGTACCTTCCAAGGTAAACAATCCTACAATTAACGCATTTGCACCATCCATGCTAGCAGATGGGTAAAACACCTAAGGAAGCGGCACTACTCGCTAGGAGACAGCTGAGGACTGGTTAATAATATCAGCAGGGAAGCCCAGGGATTATAGACAAGCCTAAGATCCAGGTCAGAGGCACAGGAAGCTGAGCCTGAGTCATGCTTCATGCTCTACTGTAGACCTAGGTCTGTTCTTTCCATATTGTGTCAATTCAGGACATTGTCCCAAAGGCCATCAACTGCCACGTTTCATTGCTGCATCATTCAGCTAACTAGAAAACACAAGCAACCCACATGCCACAATGAGGACAGTGTTCAGAGTTTACTACCAAGCATGCTAAAAAAATGCACGATGTCCTGTGTACACCTTGAGGTGCATTCTCCCCAGCCCATGGACATCTATAGCTCTACTCTTTATCACAAGAGAATCTAAAGACTCCCAGGAGAAGACCTCATTAATGTACTTTTTTAATTCATGGTACTAAATTAGTCTTTTAATGACTAATATTTGAAGCATGTGGCATAGTGGGGTTCAATGTTTTTGACAGAGAATGGTACCTCTATGTCCTTGGACTACACAAATACAAAGAAAGTCCTTAGACCAAAGATGGCAAGATATAAACAAACAATTAGATGGATGCTGTTTGGGAAAATGCCAAGGGTACATACCTGCTTTCATGTGTGTCCCAGAATTACTAGTCACATTACCCCTCAAAGCCAAGCTGAGCTGAATTCGTGCCCTACAGAAGTGGTTGGCTACCACTGTATTTAGCCTAGACCCAGAAAGGGCAATGAACTGCATGTGTTACTCTCATTTGTGTATTCACTGCAAGTGTTATCTTTATTGATACACTGTTATGACTTATCAGCTTCCAACTACCAAAGATTACATATCATGGTTTCAATCCAGTCTCCTTGGTTGAACGGAACATTCCTTACACAATGGATTAATGATTTGTTTATGTTTGAGGGTCTGGACAGTTGTTACCATGTTCTGTTTGTTCTCTGGACAAAGATAGTTTGGTTTAGCTATAACCTGAAAGAAATAAAAGATTTCTAAAAACAGACTGAGGTGACCAATAATCCTTTAGGAGTTGTGACACACACTGATATCCAGATTAATAGAGGAATTATGAGTAACCCTTAGTGGAGGGCTTTAAATGGAACACCCAGAAAAAGTTGCAACAGAAAGAGCAGTCTGTCCCTACATCCATGCTCCCTTCAAGGAGCACTGCAATCAAGGAGAAAGTCACATCTAAAAAGCTGTGTAAGCATCTTGACAGCTACTTAGTTGGATGACACATAAAACCTCTTGGAGCTGGATCTAAAACATGGATAATTATGTGTTTGGCTGTTTGGCTTTCTTTTATTTCTATTTATTTGTAGCATCTCTTTTATTATTCTATGGGCTGCAGAAATAAATTATTCTTGATTTTTATTTCAATGTTTGTTTCTAGAACAAAAATTATTTCCAGGGTGCTGGCTGGCAAATTGAATTCCCACAGCATGGTAATCCATAAAACTGCACCACATACAAGCTATCTCACAGACCTTAGCACCTTCATACAAGATCAAAGGGCAACCACTATGTGCCTGAAGCTAAAGAGCTTCCTCATTTATTTATCATAGCTATTCACCAGACCTAGCCATTTCCCAGGTAGCTCCAACTGGATGCAGCACAACTCCCAGGGCTTGAAGCACAGAAGGAAGCCAGGAGGACACTGGCAGAGTATGAATCCACTCCCACAATTGTATTTAGGCAT